TTAAAGGTTTGTCCACACCAAGAATGTTCTCGCTGTGTCGGCAGCTTAATATGAAAATGGATAAAGTTATTGATGAGCTGCTGTAAGTGTAACTCTCTAATTTAGTCTAATCGCCACAACTTTTCCCCAGATTTTGTCCAATCGTTGTAGTTTCCTGCACAAAATGGTGAGTCACACGTCACCAGACTCACGTCCTTGTCTCTAGTCGTGAAAATGCAAATGTGTGCAACACATCAACGTCACACATTTAGCCTCATAAGCCTGAGTGTTTTTGTTAAGGTTACTTGGAACAATTGATTTCATTCTCCCTGGAACAAGTTGCCTTTTTCCAATTTTCACTTTTTCCTGTAATTTCACTGCAAAACAAAGCCTAAAAACATTTTTCATGAAATGCCGCTGTGAAATCAGGCATTTTTTTTCTAACAGTCACAAAAAAGTCTGTGAGATCCTGGAGGGACTTACTAAAAGAGAAGTATATAAATATGTCTATATATATATATATGTATATATACATATATATAGAGAGAGAGGACATGTTTTGACAGTTCTGTCTGTCTCAGGTGTGATTTGCTGCTGTTTAATAAGTTGTGTACCACAAACCGATCATCTGTCACATTACCGCTTTTGTCCACAGGCGGCCGCCAGAATCAACACACAATTAAAGTTCATTGTCGGACCTGCTAACGTTAACTCAGCTTGTTTCTCTGCTAACTTAAGATTCCAGATGTCTGATGACTAAAACAAACCACCAAGATCTAAACAGTGGATGGTAAAAACTGGATAAAAAGTCGATGTATGACAGCTTCTGGCAGATACAACCACAACGCTGACGCAGGCACATTTCTCTGAGTGTGAACATTGTTGGAAACATTTGGAATAATGTAAGAACTCAACTACATATAGAACAGAGCTAATGTTTATATGGAGTATGTTGCTCAGAGATTAGTTGATGATCAAAGTGGTTGCAGACTAATTGTTGCAGCTTTAAGAGTTTAAGTGATACTGGATGTCTGGAAACCATTTCTCTTTACTGACTCTCTGTTTGAGTGCTGCTGATATTTTGAGAAAAGAAATTGAAATCAAACCCTGCTGACGTCCACGTCTCCCAGCAGCCAAAATACTGAAGCTGAAAATGAAACCAACTTGTGCAGCTTCGCTTTAAATTCTCAGGAATCCTGAGTACAGTTGGTTGGGAATTTCTAAGGTGAGATGAGGACAGTCCCTCTCCACAGCGAAAGAATCACAGCCATCATGTGTTTGGGATTAGACGGACTCGCTGTTAGAGACGTGACACTGATGGAAAGTCTTTGAGGCCACCGCAGAGCTGGAGTCTAAATACCCCTGAGGGCCTCAGACATGGTGGTAAAGGGAAATTCTGAAACACAATAATAATCTGCAACTATTTGATGATCAATTTAAGACATTTTTCAAGCAGAAATTCCAAATATTTGATGGTTTTAACGTTTCATATGTGAGGTTTTAGTGCAACAAACAAAGGAAGTCACATCATGACGTCTCTAGGAAACTGTGATGGGGATTTTTCACTATTTTCTGATGTTTTAAAGACAAAAGTCAACCAATTAAATCAGATAATTGAGAAAAGAATCAGTAATGAAAACAATATTTAGTTGCAGTCAGTTTAACAGTGTAGAAACAGGCTTAATGGAGTTATTTAATGTAAGTGGCAGCTGAATTAGGGACGATATTATTGCGTATTGCAACACAAACACTTTTTTTTTCAAGATTTAGTTTATTGTGGTGAATTTATCGGGATAATTGTTAATCATAGAAGGAGTAGAAGCCTTTTGCAGGATTTTAATGTTAATAAAACATCAGACAAACATTGATGTTCCAATGAATTGCATTATTATTGAAATAATCCATATGATATAATGTAAAATATGTGACAAACAGCGTTATAATGAGACACTGTGGTGCTACAGAGATACAAATCTTGTTCTCCAGATGAAAGAAAACATGTTTGTTTGGTACAAACCTCAACAAATCTCACATAATCTTGATTTTATCATCATTTTTGGGGTTTTTTTTCCAGTGTAAATTAAAATTGTGATATCCACAGTGATCATTCTCTCTGATCCTGAATCATATCGTGTTATCTGTAAAAATAATTGCAATATGCGCTTTATTTTTTACCATATCCCGCAGCCCTAAAGTACTATATGTCTTAAAAACATGTCTGCAGGCGATCTTTAAAGGGAAGGTTCACATTTTTTCAAGTGCGTCATCATACTCACATGTCTGTGTTTACATTGAACCAGTTGATCTGAAGGAGTTAGTTTTTTCTTCCATAGTTAACAGACCTTTTAGTACAACATTTCAACATCTTTGTGTCTCTACAGTGTTTCAGTGGAGGGAGAGCAGGAAAAATAGGAAATATATTAAATAAAAGACTTTTTCTCATTAGCTTTTGATCGATTTTAGAACTATGGATCTTTTAAGGACTCAAGCAAAACCTGTTTCATTGTACATGTGGGCCTGTGATATTGTCTAAAGACTTGATCTCATTGTTACACTGGTTAGGTAGATATTTATCTTTGTGTCTTTTATAAACACAACTTTTTTTTTTATCTCTTAGCAGCATTTCTCTCTCCGACTCCCCCCCGCTCCCTTTTCTTCTGCTTTCAGTGGTTCAGCCGCGATTGAGAATGAGTCACATCCTCTAAAGTCTTGACCTTGTGAGAGGAGTCTGCAGTTCACGCAGGTTCCAGGAATCCAGTGTGGGATTCCCCCCCGCCTCCCCTCAGTCCTCCTCCCCTCAGTCCTCCTCCCCCTCTCTTCCTCCCCCTCTCCCTGCTGCTTGTCTGCCATGTTGCCCAACACGGGGCTTCTCGTCTCACATAGCTCCAGCTTGCTCTGCACTCACACTGATTGGACGGGGAGGGAGAGGGGGGAGAGAGAGAGAGCTCATACCTGCCAGGTGGAGGTGAATGCTGCTGCGTCATAGGCCGACAGGAGTTAAATGGGAGTGGTGGGACTCCTCCTACTTCCCCTGTCTACTCAAAAGCACCGGTAGCAGCAGTTGAGGAGTGAAAGGAGAAGGAAATACCCAAGTAGTGGACGTCTGAGACACAAAGCTTCACAGCAGTGAACCAGCCGAGAGAGTCACAGGTCGGTTGTTTTAAAGTGCTGATGTGGGATAAATGGTTAGGTTGCTTCAAAAACTGAGCTTTTTTCACTGTGTGTTTCTTTGAAGTTTGAGATCAAGCATCCATGTGTTCTTTTCATGTATTAGAGTTCATTGTCTCCAGTGAACCTCGGGGATGCTGTGGTGACACTGTGTCCAGGGTATTTAGTTTCGTTGCCGTTGACACAGGACTTTAAAACTCGGCTTTGCATGGCCTGTGAGAGTTTTACATGCTGCTTTGTTTGTAATCTCAACCTTGTGACAGAGGAGACCTGAATGGTGGCCCGGACAGAGTCGTTATCATCCTTCATTTGTATTGGAGACAGTGAGTTTTGGGATGTAGTGCGAGGACATTTGGCTAGAAATGATTAGCTTTCAGTCATTTTTATCAAACAAACTCACCAAACATTTGCTGTTTCCAGCCTCAGATGTGATGCTGTTCTGTTTTCTGTCAATGTAAACTGAATATAAGTAAGTAAAGACCTCAAGTTGGGTTTTGATGGACATTTTCAGTCTTCCCTGACATGTTATATGATTAATCAGTTATAAAAATAGTCAGTTAGTTCATTAGTTGCAGCCCAAATCATTAAAGAAATCAGACTTATCTCGACTGGAGAGCAACAGTATCCAAATACTTTGTGGTTGTAGGAATGAATGAGCCAGTCCTAATGAGGCAACATCCCACTGTCAGTCAGTGTGCAACACATAATGAATAATTTAAATAATTTCTCAAGCAAAAATGCAATAATTTTTATGGTTTTGGCTTCTCAGTCTGCAACTTCACCACTAGATGCCACTAAATCTTCCACACTGGATATTTTAATCGAGAAAATAATCAGCAGATTCATCGATAATGAAAATAATCCTCAGTTAGAGAATTAATGCCGTTATTTAATGTAACATTATATCAGTTATCGTGTTTCTTGGAGTTTCAGTTTAACCATCCCATTTGCAGACAACACTTAACACAAAGGAAACATCCACTGTAAATATACACAGTAGGCCGATATCTCAGCATTTGGTTCACTTCTGTGACGGAAGGTAAATGTGAAGTGAATTGTCTGATAGAACAATGGTGGGGAAACACTGAATTTGTCAAAAAGAAGCCTGTTAAGTCTGTTTGATTGTTAGAAATGTTTTTAAAAAATCCATAATACAGACAGATAATTGTATAAAAAGGTCAGAAATCACTCGTTTTAAACAAACATCCTGTAGTTACCAAGTTCACTGTTTGGGTTCATTGTACAGTTTTGAATATAATCTGGAATACCCATAAAATATGTCACTGAGTCAGTTTAATAAATTATAGAAAAGGGAAGGAAAAAGGGAAGGAAGCCACAGCTGTTAAGACTAGTTATTTTAACTCAAAGAAATAGTTTTTAAGTGACACTAATGTAGTTTTATAAGCTAAAGAAACTTTCCTGATTAAGAACTTTTGAAGTTTTCACAGCACTAATAAAAATTAAGTCTAAATCTTAAACAAATTTGTTAGTTTGTTAGTTTAACTTAAACTTCTTGACGTAATCAGTTAAAACATTTCTTTTGAGTTAAATGAACCGCCTGCTGAGTGACGTCGAGCCGATGAGTTGGGGCCCCCGGAGGCTCTGCTGTCACCGACACGCTCATCAACCTCTATTGTTTAATTCATCCGGAGCGTGTGTAACTCACAGATGACAGTTATTTAGCCGTAAGCTGGTCGGCGCTGCTTGCGTGTGCCTGCTCGCCTTCGGGCCCTCCAGGCTGTGAAGCAGGCAGAGAAAGAGCCAAGCAGGTAGAGGCGTGTGCGTTGTGAAACCCTGTGTGGTGTACAAGAGAGGTTTTTGTGTGAGGAGCTGGAGTATCAGTTGTCTTGTCTGCTGGTTAGTTGCCCCGGAGGCTCAGTTGGAGCAGTGTCACACAGGGAACAGATGGTCAATGGCTGGTCTGACGCGCTCTATTGACTTTCTGACTCAGACACTGGGGGCCGGTCCACGCTGCGGTGGTGACACACTGTCCAGTGTTGTAGTCTGGGTGCATTTATTGATTCCTGAGAGAGGTTTTGTACTGATAGAGAAGCCTCACTGTCTGATCTGAAGCCTGTGTTTTTAAACTGAGTGCATGTGAGAGGGGAAAAGCTGTAAGTATGGTGTTTATTTAGCAGAAATATAGAAGGGTGTTAAACAAACAGGAAGGGTGTTTCTTCTTATTCTTCTCTGCTTAAACTCAAGTTCTAGAGCTGCAGAGGAGAAGTCGACAGTTTACTCCTCATTCGTCTTGTCTCACGCTTCCCTTTTTGTGTCCTCTCCTCTCTCAGAGTTACGACGTGTGTTCCTGGCAAGCTGACGAAACAGATTGATCGCTCAGACGTGCAACAAAGATGGCCTCCGTCGCTCCATTCAGCCGCAGGCAGTGGGCGTCCCAGTCGCTCAGGGTCACCGCCAAGGAGATGTCCATCGTCTCCACCCGGGGGAAAAACAACGCCATCGCAGAGCGCTTCTCCAAGTAAGTTTTTATACCTCAGCTGTCTGTGTCTCTCCGCCACCGGTTTAATAATTCACCAGCAGCCACTCAGCAGATCAGTCTTGCTGTCGCCTCTGCAGCTGATCAGAAATGAGGTCATAGGTCTTCCTCACAGACACTCAGTTTCCTCTTTTCTGTAAAAATGTGACCATTAGGTGGAACCAGTTGTGCTTGTGTCACGTCTGGTTCACTTAACTGAGACACGATCCAGGACTTCCTGTTAAACACAACAACTTACTCAGAGAATGAGACTCAGTATGAGAAGATGGTTCATGTTGGGATGCGTCCTCTCTGCACTTCCTCCGTCTGACCACTAGGAGTTAGTGCTGCTCTGTTTGTGAGCAGTGAACTACAGTTTCCCTCCCTGTGTCTAAGTAATGGTCCCATTTGTTTTTGTATATGATCAATCACTGATCCACAGCTGTAAAATACATAATCTTATGCAACATATGAACATATTAAAATATACTCGGATAGGAAAGAATAAAAAAACAAATGTGTTTCTAGACTTTAAACATTTTTTGCTCTTTTCTTGTGAAATACTGAATAGTTGTTCCCTTTTTAAGGTGTCTTGAATCGACTCCAATTAAAGGTCCAGTGTGTAACATTCAGGAGGATCTATTAGTAGAAATGGAAAATAAAATGCTTATTTATGGTTTCACTCATATATAATCACCTGAATATAGGAATAACTTATGTTTTTTTTACCTTAGAATCAGCGGCCACTGTAGTTTCTCCTTTTGGCTTGGCAGGGGAGGGTGAAGCGAGGGAGTTGCACCGCTAGATGCCACTAAATCCTCCACACTGGACCTTTTTTTTTTTTTTTTTTTTTTGAGAATCCCTCATATTTGCATATTCTGACATGCACAACCTGTGATAAGGAGTCACACATACACACGTTTTATTTTGACGGGTCACAGGTTGAAGCAGTTGGGATTGTCAGCTGTCACACGTCCTGGAAAACCTGGAAATGTAAAATTTTAAATTTAGAGGCTAGTTTTCCAGTCATGGAAACAGCTGGAAACTGATTTAAAAATGATCAAATATCCTGGAAATAGTAGGGTAAACACAGGTGTTACCAGTGATACTAATTAAGGCTCCATTCAAACACAGTATGGAAAAGCTCTGCTACACTAAATGGAACGAAGCCTTTGTTAGTAACACCTGTATTTACTCTAATATTTTATGTCTGTCAAGAAAAACTCCTGGAAAATGATTCCTTTTAAAAAGAGCGGGAACCCCGGATTACGTTATATAAATCTATCCTGTTTGGCCGGGAATGAATCGGCCATCCGGGAGTCTTTTTCCCGCCCCTGTTTTCCACCCAGATTGTCTGTAATACATGAAATCATCTGATGCTTTTTGGAGAGGAGCAGGAATAGTTCATGTTATTTGGGTGTGGAACAGCTGCTTTGAGCCTCTCGCTTTGTCACGGTTTGTGTATGACCATAAATGTTCTTCCTCTCACTGTCTTCCTGTCTTCCTCAGGTACCAGATGGCCGCAGAGGAAGGCAACGCAGACAAGAAGAAAACGGTAGGAAACAAAATTTGCTGTCACATTGTTAAATTCTTGTATTCAGTAAAGTAACATTACAACTGTAAAATGTGTTTTAAGATATCAAACGTTCTTATTGTGCACAATCAGTCCCTCTGGATTTTTTTGGGGGGGGATTGTTGCAACTTAAGTGATTTCCAAACGGCTTTTCTAAGAAATTGTGATGCATGTTGTGATGTTTTGAGCCATTTGACAGTTTACATTGTGTAAGAAAGTGAAAATTGCAAAAATAGTTACAATTTCTTTCATATAATTAAATAAAAATGTTGCTGTGAGAATAAAATCTCAGTGTTTGGTGACATATAGCTCAACAGGGGACTGCTGTGATTGGTGAAACTCTCAGGAAACTACAATGACCACATTTGGAAAAAGTTGAAGCTAAGTTTGAAGTAACAGGTTTCCCACACGCCCTGGAAAACCTGGAAATTTAGAATAGTTTTCCAGTCATGGAAACGCTTTTGAAGTTGATTTCAATTATTGTGTTCATTGTACAGTTGATCAGTCGTTCTCTGCTGTTATTGAATATAATATGAAATATACATCAAATATGTCCCTTTACTCAATGACATAAAAGGGTCCCTTAAGGAAAGTTGGGAATCACTATATAGACATAAAGTAACTTAAAATGGAAATACTGTACAGAGCCGCTATGAAACACATTTAAAGGATAAATTTAATAGACATTAATCTTAAGTTGAGACATCTGTTGCTCAACAGCGAGCGGCGTCTGCACTCTGCAGCAGAAGTAGGCGAGCCACGTTAACGTGTGCTGTCATGCAGCAGTGGTAACAAGACGCCGCCGTCCCCACCTGATCTGTGTGGGAGGGCTTGTTGTCTGTGTGGGGACGGAGCTCAGCAGGGCGGGTGCAGGGGTCACACAGCTTCCTTACACCCTCAGGTAGGTGTGCTGCTCTTTTTGCTCCACTTCTTGGGGTTGAATTTAATGGATTTTAAAGGAAATTTAAAAAAGGCTTTTGGTGCATTCAGTGAACATTCCTCAGATTTTATAGGAAGTTGTTTTAAGGTGTTGAACACTCCCTTTGTTTTCTTTTTGTAACACTACTTGGTTATTGTTTCTGCATCCCTGAATGCAAGAATGTTGTTTTATGGACATTAGTGCTGCACAATATGGTTACTGTGTGAATTATTTTCGCATATTGCAATTACGAATATAATTCAGTTAGTGTGACAATGATCATTAATGCGTCACAGTTTTCGTTTTCACTGAGAAAACTACTGAAATCATGATGTCTGGTCTGTATTGCTAAAGAAACATGTTTTCTTACATCTGGAGAACAAGATTTGTCGACCAGGTCGCTCTGCACGTTGTCATATTGTGATTTTGAGAATATTTTGATTAATGGTCTAGTTGGTAATAGCATCAACTCACCGCCTTGGTGCAACTATTGGATATTTTACTGTGAGATTTTGTACTTTCACCGCCCTCAGAGGATGAATCTGAATGACAGTCCCTCGCCTTCTCTCTATAGCGCCACCATGTGGTTGACGTTTGTGGTTTTGAGTAAAATATCTCGACTATCTAACTGTTGTTTGGATGAGTTTTAATAACATCACTGTAAAACCTGACATTCATACAATGTGTGCAGTATTTTATTTATGATTCCAGTTTGTTCCATTGACTCAAGTTGACTTTATATTGTTATAAAATAGTTTAGGATTATTCAAGTTTTGTTTTTAATGTTTATTAACCATCATATGTCTAACATTAACAAACTGGCTACCATTTTGATAATCAATTAATAATAAATAGTTTGACAGTTAATGTAGTAATTTGCTTCAGTGGAAGAAAACTGAGTAAATTCAACTTAAGTGGTAACATTTGTATAAAGAAGATGTATTTAAATGGATTTATTCAGACAAATTCTATTCGCACATTTTAAATAAATTTGGAGAAACACTGCATATGAGTTTAACTTTGATTAACTGAAAGGAATTAGTACAATTTTAATTTACTTGAGTGAGTTCAAGTTCATGCTGAAATTGTTTTGAGTTAAGGTTTTGGTGACTTTTGCTCCGTTAACATTCTTATATTTTGATGTATAATCTGTAAAACTAACATCCTTCACACGAGCCTTAGCTGTACTTTGTCTGTACTTTGTCGCTGTACGGTTGCCTCTTCTTACTGGTTATCTTTCTTCTTTTCGGTAAATTTAATTAATGTTCTGCAGCATTTTTTCCGTTGTCCTTTTCAGTAAAAGCAGTAAAGAGAGGAGGAGACAGGAAAGATAGTTAAAGGTCTTACTGTTGAATCCAATCTCTAAAACAAACCTCAGATAAAGAGAATCACCAACAAGGTTTATCAGATTATTATTTATCCAGGTTTAAAGTTGGTGTAAAGTTTTCCAGCTCTCTTTTACCTTTTTTCTCATTTCCTGGACTTATTTTCCTTTTTTTTTTCTCCCCCCCTCACTGACAGTCTCTGTTTCTGATTTTCTCTCCCTCCCCGCCCCTCACCCCTCGCCTCCCCTTCACTCCCTCTCTCCGTTTCCTACACTCCTTCCTTCCCTCTGTGTTGTAGGGGGGGTGGGCTAGTTACTTCATGCTGCTCTGATCACTTCTCAAGACTCTCACATCTGGGACAGCTTGTAGCAGACACACACACACACACACACACACACATAAACTCACAAACGCCAACTGGACAGCCGGGTCTTCAGCCGCTCTCTCAGGTTTTTAAAACTCTTTACTTTGGCCTTTTTTTCCAGCTGTGTCGCTTTCTGTTCTGTATCCAGCAGATCCAGGTTCAGATTGTAGACGTGCATGCTGAGCGGCTCTTTGTCTCTTTCTTTTTTTTGGTGCAGTTGTTTCGTTGCTTTACTGTCTTTCTTTTCTCCTTCACAAGCTGCTGAAAGTGTGAAGTGCTTGCATGAACTGTTAACATGTAGTTTAAAGTTTTAAGCTTCATTCAGCAGTTGGAGGATCAGGTGGGTCCAACATTCAATTCATTGAACAAACTAAAAACAGATTCAGAGAGCAGCTAGCATCCCTCCTTAAGAAATAGTGAGTCATCTTGTTTAAAGTGTTGATGTGACTGTTTGTGTGGCAGTTTATCTCCTCTGCTTGCTCACTGCTCTGTTTTAAAGACATCCACAGTACGGCTGTAGGATACTGTTCAAAACATCATATTGTGATTATTCTGATAGATATTGTGATTCACGATCAGTGGGAATGATCGTTTTTGTACCATACATTTTAGTTTTCACTGAAACAACAAATTTTCTTACATCTGGAGAACAAGATTTGTAGGCCAGGACACATCTGCAGGACTACAGTACTTCTGTCTAATGCGGTTTGGACCTTATTGCTGCTTTCTAATGAGACTGTGTAAGGTGGATCACTGTTTTACAGAAATGTAGGAAGGTTAACTGAATATCTCTTGGATTTTGACATTGTCCTGATCCATAGATGTACAGATAAATAGACTCAATCCTATGTACACAGTCCTGCTGCTGAAAATGCTGACTAGAAGCCCCCAATGTGTATTAATCTGCAGCTGAAAGTAGTACCCAGCAAATGCACTATTGACTCCTGTAATGTTTGAGCTCAGTAGGAAGCAGTGGTATTGAGAGAGGGACTAACACATTGTTGGGTTGGGTTTTCATTAGATTTGGGAATTATCCTGAGAGCCCGGATTAAAATGAACTTTGTGTCTCATCTCTTTGTGTTTATTGTTCCCTTAAGGTTGCAGAACCTCTGCCGTCCACAGTACGCAGCGGGAATCTGAGTGTTTTAAAGAAACGCTGGGAGCAGCAGCAGCAGCAGTCGGGCCACAGAACCCAATCTCAAACCACACCCTGCGACCCTGCTGACCCTGAGACCCACATCAGTCAGTCAACAGGCCCCAAACCTGCACCCAACTCACAGCTCGTGCACCAGCACGACACCCTGAAAGCCACCGACCAGGAGCCAGAGACACAGGTTCACTCTGAGACCAGCTCCGACCCACCTGAGGGTCTGACCGACATGGAGCCCAGCAGAGATTCAGAGGGGCAGGAGGGAGCAGCAGCAGCTGAGGTACCCGAGTCCGAGAAGCCCAGTGTTCCCCTCAACAGCCTCAAGATGATGTTTGAGAAGGGAGAAAACCCGACCGACAAGGCAAGTCTCTTCTTTTTTTCTCTTTAGGTTTTGTCCTCAGATCTTAATGTCATATGGAAACAGGAACAAGTACATTAATCCAGGGGCGGATCGAGAGAGAAAAAAAAAAAAAAAAAAAGAGCCTGGTCACCTCAGTTGGTTTACATTGAACACATTAATTAAGATTACTTTTAAAAATAATGAAATGAATTGAATCTGTTATGGCTACGATTAAGACTCAGTGAGGCTTCAGTTCAATGAGAGACTGAACATTTCTGATTCCACCTTTTAGATATTTTTATTCAGAGCTTTAATAATGTGCCACAATAATGTTTTTCACTTAATATTTTCATTTGAGGGCAAAAAAATATTCATATTTGTGATTGTTTGATTAAAATCTCTGTAACACCCTCTGACCACACCATAAATATTACTCTAGCTCCGCCCCTGCTTTCATTTAAACTGATTAGTGGTCAACCGATATGGGGTTTTATGGGTTTTATGGGTCTATATTTAGATGCAGATGTATCTGAAGACCTTTTTTTTAGTTTGCTGACTTTGTGAGCGCAGACATCAGCCGAAGCCGATTGTCTCAAAATGCCAGATAATCGTCCCGATTGATCGCTCTATCATTAGAACTGATCTTCAGTCAGACTTCTGCTGGTCGCTGCGGCTCCATCTTGGGGGGGGTCAAAAGTTATTGAGGCGTAAACTTTTCTTTAGTTTCATCTCAAACAGAAAAAGGACCAAAGATCATCAGTTTCGGTTAAGATTAAAAAAAAAGAAAAAAAGTTCTTGTTCTCAGAGGTTAGATCCCTGCAGTGCTGTCATGCTGCAAGTCACATGGTGCAGCCTCACTTCACCATCCTACACACACACACACACACACACACTCTCTCTCTCTCAGCTGACTTGCACATCCTCCCGACAAGCATCCTCCACTGGAGCCCGGCTTCAGGCTAATTGTTGTGTTGTGGCGCATAAAGAAGTCGAGGCGTTTAACGTCCAGTCATGCATTTGCTGGAGGCGTGTAAAATGTAAAGTGCTCATACTCGAAGTGTGACACGTTAACAACGGCCACGCTGTGTTTCCTCAACACAGAGCGCCCATTTATGACAGGAAGAGAACATTACGGGGCTGTAAGAGGCTTTAAGAAGCACACTGAGTTTAAAATGAACTGACCTTACAGATCCATTAATGTTAATGTTGGATATGTTTTTGTACTTTGCACTCTGCTCTCTACTGTAAATAACTGATCAGGCGGCACGGCGGCATTACGGCACGGTCATTAAAGCAGCTTTAATCTTCATATTAACAATGGATCACATGATCACAAACTCATCGGCTCCACAGAGCGTTTTTGTGTCTATCAGCTCATTGTTTTGGTAACTTTACTGTAAGTTTGTTTTACTTTCATTCCTCTTAATTTCCGGATGTAGCAGGCGGCTGATTTTTACCTGAACAGCACCAAACAGGCCTCACTGGGGGGGGAAACAGTGGAGCATTTAACAGGCAGAGAGGCAGATATTCCCCTCAGAAGTTGGTAGAAACCAAAAACTGAGCTAAAAGACGACTTTTATCGGATTATTGAACGCTCATTCATCTGGTGCACAAAAACACGACTTCAGATGAATGCTAATGTTGCTCCGTAACAAATAGATGTGAACAACACATTAATGTTGAACCTGTTGGTTCCTACTGAAGACGTAAATGTTCACAAACATGTGACAAATAACGTTTTAAAAGGCTTCCTAAAACAGCTGGACATAGTAGTTAGACATTAGTCAACTTGAATGGTGATTTTAATATGTTAATGTTGTTTACAGCTTGTTTCTGCTGCCCCCAAGTGGCTAAAAACCCCAGTTAATACAGGTTTAAGTCTGATATTCTCCAGGTTTTACTCCACCGAAGGGAGCGAGTGAATGCAAACAAACTCTTTTTGAATTCCCCTTTTCTGGTTCTTTGAGAATCGAGCCACTTCCCCGGGCAAACAGCCACTCCTCCTGAGACGTTCTGCTCGTCCATTCCTGTAAATCTTTGTCTTATGAGCCATAACAAGTCTGAACACCCATCACACGCTGATCTTTTGAAAGCTCAGCGGTGATGTTTCTATATTTTTCTTATTGTCTGTCGTCTGTGGCTCTCAGCCCCGAGGCCTGAAGATGTAAATCTGTCTGTAGTTTCATTCTTTACAAAAGCTCAGCAAGTTCCTAAAACAACAAGGTGCTATAGTTCTTCTTAAAGGAACAGTTTGAGTTCATCAAGTTGGAGGAGAAAATCAACACCACTCACATGTCTGTACATTAAATATAAAGCTACAGCCGCCTAGCTTAGCTTAGCTTATCATAAAGACTGGAAATGGGGACACAATCCACCCAAAGCTCATTAATTAATTAACACGTCACATCTTGTTTGTGTTTTTTTTGTTTAATCCGTATTAAAAGAATGAGTTTAAACAGCTGTGTCCTCTGTTTCCAGTCTTATGCTAAGCTAACCGGCTGCTGTCTGTAGCTTCGTATTTACTGTACAGCAATGACAGAGGTCTTTTTGTGTAAATGTCAACCTCAGTAATCCTATAAGATGGACCTTTTTATTGATCCCTGGAGGGGAAATTCATGTTCAGCAAACGTTCCTCAAACAGGAGTAAACTGCTGGGAACTATTTTCTGTGATTTAATGCACATTTAGAGGACTGGAAGGTATTTATAACAGCAGGTTGCATATGAGGGACTGACTCCAAAACCTACAGTGTTCATGGTGCTAAGTGTCACCCAGTGATGTGTTTTTAATATTTGATTCAGTGGAGCTCAGGATGAACAGATAATACTTGTTTTTAGGGTCATTGCTGGTTTTGAAACCTTATTCTTTAACCCTGATCCAGCACTAATAAAGAGTGGTTCTTGGCAAAAGGAGACAGAAAATCTGATATTCCAACAAAGACTTTCCACACTGACCTCCTAATGTGGGCTTTTTTTAAAGAAGTGAGATCAAGGAATGCTACGGAGAGATGGAGAGTCTCTTTATTGCAGCGTAGTTGTCTTAGCAAAGAGGGAAATCCTGCAGCAGTGATACAGGATCTATACAGTCGAGTGCCTTCACAATGGCGTCCACTGTATAGCTGAAGCCTTCTGCTTCTCTTTTGTTGAGCTCCCTTTCACAGGGGCAGATGATGTAATGCAGGCTGGTAGGCTCATGACTGCAGACAGCTGATCTGCGCCTCTTCAGACCGTCTCTCCTCAGGCCATTAAAGCTCTCCTCCCTCCCCTCCCCACCTCATCAATCATCCCTGTTGTCCACTTCCCTGCTCCTCAGCCCTCCGTCCATCTCCTCTCTGTTTTCTCTCTCGACCCTCCCTCCCTCCCTCCTACACATCATCAAAGACCTCGACCTCCACTCCCTTCCTTTCTCTCAGCCATGCTCGCTCGGGGCTGTAGGGACTCGGTCCAGAGTCAAATATCTCAACAGTTGAGGATCAGAAAGACTTTGGTGATCTCCCGAATTTCCCTCGAGCGCAACCAAGAGGTTTACATCTGAGGGTCCGAGTTAAACGTTTACTTTGGATGGATTAAGTACCTTTTTTTTTAAATGTGGTCCCTCAGGATTAGAGCACAGCTGATGTTTCCATCAGCAGATATCATCGGCCGATATTGGTTTACATTATCTTCTATGTATGGAAGCACATTTCTGCCAATGTGATTTAAAAAAATAAAAAAAAAAAAAAATAAAGGATTCAGTTCGTCATTATAACAAGAAACTTTCTAAAAATAATATCTTTGTGATACTAAATCAACATATTTGAGAAAGTTTCTTAATATAATGACAAACTGAATCTTCGTCTATGCACAGATATAAAATGCTTTTACAGTACTGATCTATTTTATTTATTTTAATTCTTTATTTAGTCTTTGTTTCTAGAATTGGCTGACAGTGTATGTTAAATTATTCAACAGATTAAAGACTGAGACCAGAAACTCATCAGGAAACTGTTCACTGAGCTCATAAATCAACTGAGAAGTCAACTCATTTCTCCCTAAGACTGTATGGTATCAGTGTTATTGCAACCAGTGGAGTCGCCCCCTGCTGGCTGTTACACAGAATGCAGGTTAAAGACACTTCTTACCTGGAAGCTCTGTCCGTTATATAAACTATAAATGATGCGAACACTCTCTCAGTGACAATGCTACGATAGCATTTAGCTCAGCCTCCCCTCAGAGCTGTATCTAAATACCCCCCCCCCTCCGAATGAGGGACACACAGCCCCACCTATCCCCTCGCTCCACTGTCACCCCCCCTCCACCAGCTGCTCCTCCACCCTGTAGGCTTTACTCTGAGGCTGGGGGACCGTGACACAGTAAAAAAACAAAACAAAAAAACTGCACACACACAGATGGGTTGGGGGGGGGTTTAACACCATGGCACACTTTACCTCCCCACCCTTCATCCGGCCCCCTTTTTGAACACCCCTCGCTCTCCCTCCCCCTTTGGAACACCTGCTCCCTGTCGCCTTTCCTCTTCCCCACCCAGTCTACGTTCCCTCCTCCTCCTCAAACCGTCTCCAGAGGCCGTACAGCACATCCCCCCCCCCGGTCCATAAAGACCTGGCTGCTCCGCTCAGTCTCTCACTGCTGGATCTTCCTCAACCGGCATCACCTCGATCTCGTCTACTGACTCCTTTAACCCCCCCCCCACCCCCGTGGCCTTTTTCCTTCCTGCGTCCGGCTGCACGAGAGGTAGCTATGGTGTTTTTGGTTCATGTGGTGTTTCTTGCTTTCTTTGTTCAGCCTCTGAACAGGCTCCGCTTTCACTGCTCCGACTCCACTTTTACTTCTGTTTCTGCTGACTTCTGGTGTCGGATCCTCTGCAGCTGAAAGAGGTCTTGTTAGATGAGACGGTCACATAGTTCCTGCAATGAAAGCCGCCTCTCAAAGGCCACTTCATGGTCTAACTTTATCAGTGGATCCTTTTCATCTGTGTCAGCTCTTGTACGGTGTTATTGTGTGTGCCGGGGGTTGGGCACATCACCTTGTTTAAAGGCTTTTCACTCATGGTTCTTCTTCTGTCTTTGTTTAGGTAAGGCTTAATGTAAGAACAGGGTATTGTGTGTGTCTGTGTGTGTGTGTGTGTGTGTGTGTGTGTGTGTGTGTGTGTGTGTGTGTGTGTGTGTGTGTGTGTGTGTGTGTGTGTGTGTGTGTGTGTGTGTGTGTGTGTGTGTGTGTGTGTGTGTGTGTGTGTTTGTGTGTGTGTGTGTGTGTGTGTGTGTGTGTGTGTGTGTGTGTGTGTGTGTGTGTGTGTGTGTGTGTGTGTGTGTGTGTGTGTGTGTGTGTGTGTGTGTGTGTGTGGACAGGGTGGAGTCACAAGGGGAACTGTCAGTCTAAATGAGAGCTTTAATAGTATCAGGATTAGCGGCAGATTCTTTGTCTGGCCCGCTGATCCAGCTTCCCGAGGCCTCGTATGTCGCCGGCTGCTTGTTTACATCCCGCCGACCCCCACATGTTTACGCCCCCTCCTCATACCCCAACCACACACACACACACACACACACACACACATATGCAAACCAGTCTCAGACACCCCCCTCTGCACCTCCGGTCTCTGGGAGATTAATCCACCCTCGGGAATAGATGCTTTTATATTATGATGCTTTCTTTTGTTGGGATTTCTTTATTGCCAGACAGTGTTTGTTTGTCTTGTGCACACAGTTATGATTCAGTATGTTTGTCACACACAAACATATATGTATTATTTATCGGTCAGTCGCTCCTGAATCCGACTCAGATTTGCCACAGGTGACATCATCTGATAGTCTGGCTCACCAAACATAACCTGATGAAAGTCTGAGATTTAAAATCTGCAGAGTTTAAAGCTGCTACAATCAATATATTTCATATTAACAATGTCTGCTCTTGAATTAATCCACAGAATTAACTTTGTAGTTCCCCCTCAGCTCACAACTTTATTGTTTTTGTTGTTTATAGGAAGATCTATTGTCAGAAAGGGAATATAATATTTATAGGTATGTTTTTATTGGTGTATGATCACCTGAATATGAGAATATATGATCACCTGAATATGAGAATATATGATCACCTGAATATGAGAATATATGTTTTTGTTGCCTTAGAATGAGACGTTTGTATCTACAGACGCTGCCGGTCGCCTTCATGGATGCTGCCATGTTTCTACAGTAACCCAGAAGGGACAAACCAAACACTGGCTCTAGATAGGGGTGTTTTTTTGTGTGTGTGTTTTTCAGCCGATCCTTCACACTGGACCTTTAACACCAAACAGCATAAACGGTTAACAACCAGCTGGTGAACATAGTGGAGCATTTAGCTGCTAAAGAGCTAAAACAGACTGAATGTTGGGCTTTCAGTCACAGGAGGATACACGATGAACACTAATGTTGCTCCAGGTCTGATGGAGGTCTAAATAAGATAAATAATATTAATAAAACTTCATTAATCCACAGAAGAAAATAAGCAGCTGTTTTCTAACAAGTTCACCGTAATTATTGGTTCAGTACTAAATGTAAATGTTCCTCAAAGGTTTTCACTCTATCTTCTTTTATGCTTAGTTTAATTTACCAGATATCATTTACATAAACAAAGTGTTATAAGTAATAGTGTAGTTTAAAGCAGTGGGTCAGGACCCCCACTAGGGGTTGGGAAAGCTTCAGAGGGTCACAAGGCCTTCTTGATTTTAAGGTGTAAGAACACTTAAATATACCCATTAGGCCTATAACTCTGGTTTCATTGTCTAAAAGAAAGAGAAAACATTGAATTTGTCAAAAAAAAATAAACATATTAAGTCTTTATGATTGATTTAAAATACATAATACAGACAGAATTGTATAAAAAGTTCCCTAAATAGGAAATAATCTGCTCAAAATTCATCGTTTTTCCACAAACTGCAGCAGTTCCCTGTTGTACAGATTCACTGTCGTACGACCCTGAGCCCGAGCTCTGAATGTGTCTGAACCGTACTTCTCTTCCCAACTCCACCTGCTGAAGCCTGCAGACACATTCATCAGGTGGATGAGCCAGAAAACCAGAATCTGTTGAACTCGGGAGGAAAGAGAAATACACTTTGTTTTTTCTTTGTTGGACATTTTGGTAGCGAGCGGACTGACGCAGGCGACTCACTTGTGGCTCTTTTTAAGAGGCCGAATGCTAAATGTGTCGAAGCGTCACAGTCGCAGTGTGACCTATTGTGTAATCTGTGTGTGTGTGTGTGTCCGTCCTCAGGTTGGCAACCAGGGAGTGGTTGTTGGTTAATCGACTCCAGCAGAGCAACAAAATAATGATAAAGCTCGTTTTTATTTTTATTCTGAGGCTCTAAGAAATTAATGATCAGTTTCTTTTAGAGACTGGAGACACACACACACACACACACACACACACACACACACACACACACACACACACAGAGAGAGAGAGATTGTCGTGTATTTTAATGGACGGCCTGAGAAACAGAAATGATCAGTTTGTTTTGGCTGGCGGCCGTGGACAGACGGGGTGCCTGTCTGAGGCTCCGTCTCTCTGATCTCATAAGGGGATTAAAGTGGTTTGGACTGGACACACACACACACACACACACACACACACCTCCTCCACGTCTTTGCACTTCCTTCGTTCTTTTTCACTTTGATCCTCCTGATCGACAGCGTTGCTTCCAGCCAGTTTGCTTTACTGGTTGAACCATGTGAGCATCAGATGGCTGTGTGTGTTACTGTGTGTGTTACTGTGTGTGTTACTGTGTGTGTTACTGTGTGTGTGTGTTCGGTCATGCAGTTCACACTGACGCTGTTGTTTTCTTTTATTGCCTGTTATCTGACAGTTTTTCTGCTGGTTTTTTTGCAGGTGTCCAGAGAGCAACCCAGCAGAGGAACCAACGGTAACACTGCCAGCATGGACCAACTTCTAGGAGGTAAATTGTTTTATTTTAAGTGTTTCTTGGCAATTTTATGCATTTTTATTAGAGAGCTGAAAGGAAACAAGGAGGGAGAGCAACAATGTACAGTATAGCACCAATATAAAATAAGTTTATTATATTTAAGTTTGTCATTAAACCTTTAGGCCAACAGGGCGCTGCAGGTTTCTGTATCTTTGAATTTGACTATTTTAATGTGCTGCGTTGAATCCAGTGAACTTTATTTATACAGACACCTTTTTATACAATATGCAGCACAAAGAGTTTCATTACTGAGCTTCTCCTTGCTGTTGGAATGTAACTATTTAATACCAAGAGTTCAGTTACTTACTTTGTGCAGTTTATTATCCGTTATAAACGTATTCATACTCGTATTTGTAGCTTTAAGGTTTTTATTCACTCTCATCAGCCTGATTTCCAGCCTCATCAGGATGCTTTCAGGTTCCTGCAGGTTAAATTTAAGACTTTTTAAAGACCATTGTGAATACAGTTTTTAACAAAAACATTATTTGAGCAGATATGTTTCACAGACATTATATTTCTACATTCAGTGCTCATTTTCATAGCCCATAATTGTGTATGTGGCATTAAAGTTATTAGGAAACCAAATATCAGAATGATTTGGTGAGTTTGTTGTTGTGGAGCAACATTATGATTTATTTAGAGTTCTTTTTGTTCTCTACCGACTCCTGAGGGAAATATGTGTCTGTCTTTAGCTGCTGAATGCTCCACTAGCTTCACCAGCTGGTGTCTAACTGTCTGTCTGCTGTTCGGGGATCATCAGTGGTTGCAAAGCCGACACTGAAGTAACAAAAACAGCCACTAGAGGCTCCAGCAGTGAGTCAGTAAGGCTTCATATTAAAATGCCCAACTACAGCAGAAATAAACATGTTTACAGCCTTTTGGTCTCTGTAGCTAATTTCCTCATTCATGACGACTGTACGTAAGGTTTTTACATAACTCACCTGTTTTAAATTATATTAAAGCTTAAAGTTATGTATAATAAGGGCGTGGCCGCTCTGAGTGACAGTTAAAGCCGTCACAGGTTCCTGGTTCCAGTAACGAGGCTTCAGTCGGCTCCACGTGTTTGTCCATTTTTGGATTAGGAGTCAGGACTGCCAGGATCAGAGCCGACCACACTGAGCCTCACAGCGGCTCTTCAGTAACCTGTGGGGGACGCCACGGAGCCGTTGTCCATTATTAATTACAATCTACGGTTTTTAGAGCTTTTTATTTACTGGAAACTGCAGCGAACAGTCCAGTAAGCGTCTGTGGCTTCATCACTGATCCATTCACATGGAAATATTGATTACAGCTGCTTTGAATGTATCCAATAATGGTCTCACATTCACAAAGCCATTGCTCGAGTCACTTCATCCAGCATTGTTCTCGGAGTCGTCCCTCCTTCCTCTGGATGGATCACATCCTTCCCTGAAGTGACGAGGCAGATCGCTGTAGAACCGCTGCGATCAGCAGACGGGAAGAGACAAACCTCTGTTTCCCCTCCACGCTGCACACAACTGCTGACCTCACGTTCCCGTCCACAGCCTCAGTGACTAACCAACCAGCACATTGTGCACTCGGGCTGAACTGGGACGGGTGGAAAGAGATAAATCCCCACTGGGAGCGGTTGTCGTGTGATACAGAAAACAACTAATGGACTGTGAAACACTGAATTTGTGCTGCATTTCATAGCAATCTTTAAAAAAGTGTCTCAGCCGTGAATCTAAACCAGATTAACTCTCATTAGTATCAGTACAAGCTGCTGGGTGTGAAGCTCTGTGTGAGGTTTTAACATATTGTGTTGTGTTTTTGTACCAGATGGAAGTCTTGCAGAGTCCACTCCTCTCCGGGACAGGATGGCCCTCTACCAAGCTGCCATCTCCAAACAAGAAGTCCCGCCCACCTCAGTCAGTGTGAGTGCTCCTGTCAATCATCCTCCAGAAACGAAACGTTAAAAATGTACAAAGCAGTTTGAAAAGCTCTCTGCACCAAACTCCCTTTAAGAAATATCACATTTTAACTATCAATTTAATCCATAAATGTAAAACTGTTTCTGGACAAACGTTACATTTTCAACATGCTCAGCCTCTGTTTGTTGTACTAAAGTTGGAGAAGAGAGAAAACCCACAGTCTTTTAATGTGTGTGTCTTTTGGTCCGTGGTTAAATCCTTGCAAGCATTATATGTGGCAGGTACTTTAAATTTTAAGATAATTTGAGGTTTAAAGGTCACAGTGTGTTTATGTTTGACTCCATAAGAGATACTGAGTACATTGGAAACTTACTGTCAGCATTGATCTTCAGACTAAGTTAAAGTATAAATATAAGAAAGTTTTTAGGACTGAGTGCCGCAGTAGTTGAGGTTGGAGGCTCTGAAGCTTTTCAAGGTCAACGTCTTTGTCCTGTAGTCAAATCCAATCACCCAAACTAACTCTGGACCGCAGGTGGCCAAAATGCATCTCGTCAAAGTGACGTCAGCGAATAACGAGGCCACGGGCGGCTCAGGCAGAGAAATGATGGATAGAGGTTTTAAAGGAGCTTCTGTTGGATTTTTATGTGTTAGTGAACTCTTGTTTCTCCTCCTCAGAGTGATCAGCTGGACACTTTCTGTGGGAAGCAGAAGGAGAACGTTCCTCCGTGCACTCTGGACATGGTGAGTCTGTTTGTGATGCAGAACAATTCAATAAATGAAAGACTTGATGCATGCAGAGTTCTTTAACTCAACCTAAACAGATTCTTATTATTGGCTTCATAAACCTTCAGATGCTGCCCTCTGCTGGGCTCCCGTCTGAATACATTCAGCCTGTTTGACTGATTAAACTTTGAGCAGCACGTTACAAAACCTGCACAAACACGCTTTTATCAGCAGGAACATTGCTGGAATTCAAAGTTTTAAAGATGCAGTAATCCAGGTGTGATGAAATAAAAGCACACAATAGTTTCTGTAACTGCTGTTTTTAAATGTCTGAATACAAAAATTGTAAAGAACTAACCAGAGGAAACAGACTTTTCACTCTGGCTCCCAGGGTGATTTTAGAATTGATTTTAAGCTGCTCATAAGGAACTAAATGGTCCGACTCTGCAGTACGTTGCAGGGTTATTATAGTTCAATAAAACTAAATTAAAACTAGGTGTTAAAAAGCATTTTAATTAACTGAAATAACAGTCTAGTCTAGCCAGATTTTCCAGGATGTGTGGGAACTCTGTAATATAAGAAAGATATTCCTTTATTGATCCCCTGTGGGAGAAATTCAAATGTGACACAGCAGCTCAGAGGAAAATGTAGTGTAAAAAGTAGTTCAAATATTATAAAGATATAATAGAAAATATAAAGACTATAATTAAAAATATATACACTGTGTGCAGTATGCAAGTAAGAGATATGGAGTGCAAACATATTTAAACAGTGTGAACTAAACTGTACAAATTGAGTTTGTTGTTGTTGTTGTTGTCCTTATATCCTTCCTTCTCCTGTTACAGAGTCCAGAGTCTGAACCAAACGGCAGGAAAAGTTTTACCTCCGAGAGCAACGGTAATTTAGTTTCCACATCTTTGTATGACTCTAGACGACAGGAATGTTCTCCTAACGAGAACCCGGCAGCTGGAGAGCATTAGAGTCGATGTTTGGATGTTTGTGATGGAAAAATAACATTTTAAACACCTAAAGTAGATTATTTAAAGTCTGAAATACAGAGGATCTGGTCTGTAAGAACAGTTTGAGTTATTCAGAAACACAGAAACTAAACTTGGTGGATGTTTGAGCGTCTACGTGTGAGTTTGTTGTATTAAAGAAGGAAACGGCTCCATCTAGTGTTCAGAACTCGTCACTGCAGGTTCTCACTCAGCTCACATTGTGATCCCACAGGCTCGGCTTCTGGCACCCCCGTGTCCTCCAATCAGAGAGACTCTTCTCAGCCCAAGTCCTCCAAAGTGAGTCCTCGCAGTACCGCCTTCACACAGACACATTCTGTGTGTGTGTGTGTGTGTGTGTGTGTGTGTGTGTGTGTGTGTGTGTGTGCGTGTGAATTTACTGTGTGTGTGTGTGTGTGTGTGAATTTACTGTGTGTGTGTGTGTGTGTGAATTTACTGTGTGTGTGTGAATGTGTGAATTTACTGTGTGTGTGTGTGAATGTGTGAATTTACTGTGTGTGTGTGTGTGTGTGTGTGAATGTGTGAATTTACACTGTGTGTGTGTGTGTGTGTGTGTGTGTGTGTGTGTGTGTGTGTTTTGTGTGTGTGTGTGTGTGTGAATTTACTGTGTGTGTGTGTGTGTGTGTGAATTTACTGTGTTTTATTGTGTGTGTGTGTGAATGCATGAATTTACTGTGTGTGTGTGTGTGTGTGCGCAGAGCTTCCGGCTGCCTGTGAGGGAGACCTGTGTGTCCTGTCTGAAGACGGTTTATCCTCTGGAGAGGCTGGTGGCCAACCAGCACGTCTACCACAGCTCCTGCTTCCGCTGCTCTCACTGCAACACCAAACTGAGGTTTAATTTTAATGCTTTATTTTATTATAAGAAGAACATACAAACAGCTGTGTGTACATATATATATATATATATATATATATATATATATATATATATATATATATATATATATATATATATATATATATATATATATTTATATACATAGAAACATGTAATTTTATGTTTGGTTGTGAACAGAAGTTTAAATACATATTCACAAAACTTTTTAGCTAAAAAGCTTTAAAGTTTAGAGTTTTTAGAGGATTGCACCAAACTTTTGGGAATAATATATAATGATGTTTCTGGACCTTCACTAGGGGCCACGAGGCCTTATTGGGGTATGAGAGGGTGAATACACACAGCAGGACTATAGCTCAGTATTATTGCATTATTGCTGTGGAAAAAAAACTAAATGCAATTGTTATTTTTAAAGTTTAGATTATTATTTAGGATCTGAACTTTGAACAAACAACCAAAGAGGTAATATAAGCCAGGAAGAAAACACTTTTATTTTTAACAATCATACATGTTTAGATAGGCAAAATGCATAATATAAAATATCAGCAAAACTGATCAATGATCAATATTCAGAGGAAATAATCTGATCGACATTCATCCAAATGACCTTCTCTAGTACACTCATCAGTTCACTCAATGTAATATAATGACCTCCTCTGTCTGTGTTGCCTTCTGGGTAGTTTGGTGAACTACGCCTCCCTTCACAACAACGTCTACTGCAAGCCGCACTTCTGTCAGCTCTTCAAGGCCAAAGGAAACTACGACGAGGGCTTCGGCCACCGGCCCCACAAAGAGCTGTGGGAGAGCAAAGGGGACAGCGGCGGTGAGACCTCGCCGCAGTCCAACACTCAGACCGGGCCGAAGATCCAGAGCCCGGTCTCAGACCTGGACAGCCCCAGCGTGGAGGACTCCCCGCTGGCCAAGGTCAACGTGCTGACCGCCACTATGGAGGCTCTGGGTCAGGGATCGGCAGAGAAGTCCGACAGACCCACCGAGACCCGCAGGCTGAAGATCTCCTGGCCGCCACGAACGGAGCTGGAGGACGGGACCGGCCGCAGTGGCGCCACAACAACCCCAGACGGGGGCTCCGCCAGCAAGCCCGTCCGACCCAAGTGGCCCCCAGAGGAGGACTCCCCTTCCTCGGCCCCAGAGCAGGCCAGAGAGATGCCCTGCCTGCGCCGGAGCTCCTCCCTGAAGGAGCGCAGCATGCCCTTCACACTGGCTGCCAACTCCCCCGCCCCCGAGGCCAGAAGACAGAGTCCGCCTCCCCCCGCGGAGGACCGGCAGCTCAGCCCTGAACCCTCCGGCATGGAGCTGCAGCACGGCGGCCAGACCCCCACTGAGGACGTTCACACAAGCTCAGGAGAGGAGGAGCAGGAGGGGGAGATGAGTGAAAACATGCCGGACCATCGCCTCACCAATGAGGACAAAGACAACACTCCAGAGGAAGAGGAAGAGGAGGAGGATGAGAAGATGGAGGAGGAGATGGACGGAGGTGTGTTGGAGGAAGAGATGAAACAGCAGGAGGTGCCAACAGACATCTCGTCTCCTGAGGGAGAGGTGGAGGCCAGCCGCTCCTCTCAGGATGTGGGCTTCTGGGACAGCGAGGAGGTGGATGATAAGGAGCAGCAGAAGCAGCAGCAGGAGGAGGAGGAGCAGGAGGCGCTGTCGGTGGAGGAGATGATCAAACGAAACCGCTACTACGAGGACGAAGAGGAGGAGGAGGAGGAGGGATGTATAAACTTCTCTCGGCCAACGACGACCGCCACGGACACTTTAGACTTTCTTGCCATTCCTTCTTCTCCTTCTTTAGACGTCTTCCTCCTCTTCCTCTCTTCCTAAAAGAGTTGCTTCAGTGTCTCATGTGAACTCTACTGAACTCTTTATTTGTGCCTCTTCAAACACTTTCTGAACCCTTTTTTTTAAACCATTTCCTTACGAGACTGTTTTTAAATGTACAATATTTAAAATACGCCCCCCCCCCCCCGTAATCAATATTTTTAAAGCAGAAATGTCAGAAGGTTGTGACACACAGAGGATCGGTTTATTTTTGTGTACATGACTTTTGTAATTTTCTATTTTTCATTGAACGCCTCCGAATCTGGGAAATGCATCGTCCTGTTGTACAATTATACAAAATGGCCTCTTTAATTAATGTTTAATAGGAAAGTTTAAAAGAAGACACTTTTAGAAAAGACGGCACTTTGATCTGTTACCTTTCTTCTCTTTTTAAATAACAGGTTTTTGGTTTAAGTCACTTTTTATTTTTAAGTTGCCATTCTGTATGTACATGTTAAACTTCAAAAAAAAAAAAAACACTTGTTTTGTTTTTCCAATTTCAAGAGTAAAAACTGGATCTGAAACTGTTTTTAAACCAGGGGACCAAATATCCGATTGCTACTGTTTAAATAAATTGTTATATACAAAATGTTGTTGCCTGTTTTTATTAAATGTGGTTTTATTTATGCTGATCGAGGCTCTTTGCGCTGATGATGTGATCAACAGTTGTTTGGATCCATGTTAGGTTGTCAGATACAGACGCGAGTGGTGTTCAGTTACCTGCAATCTGCAACTTCACCACTAGATGTCACTGAATCCTACAAACTGGTACTTTTTAAATAAAGTTTACAAACTATTGAATTATAGTCTGAATCGGAGCTGAATGTGATTCAGTCTGTTTATACGAACCTAATTTACACCTCACACTGTCGTTAATCTACAAACTAAATTTAATCAATCCATCCAATAGTTGTTTAGATATATTGATTATATATTATGTCATTAGCACTGTGGCTGCAAGCTGCCATTTTCTAATCCTGAGCACCCAATAAAAATGGGTTTTAAGATGAAATTAGTGGTTTAATAAGTTATTTAAATTTATTCTACTGTTTTAAGCTGATAAGAATGACTTTTGGAAAAATGGGTCACTTCTTTTTTTAGAAGACAATCTAATGTTCTGCAGAAAATCTTCACAAATATCCATTTATTAATATCTTATTGACCTTTTATTTGAAAAGGTGAGACCCAGCAGTATTTCATGTACGAATGCACCGATTTAAACATCAATATCGGCCCCGAATTTCACAATTTGTCTGATACAGATGTGTCCTTTAGTTCAGTTTAAAATTTAAATTTACTGAGCTCGGTTTGCATTAAAAGACAGTGCTTATATTGCCAAATCAAACAAATATTAGCATTTATAATGGCAATAACAATGTTCGTTATAACTGATGACGGTGAGTTAAAACAATAAGTCAATAAATGCATACATATTTGTAATAAGGTCAATGTAACCGTAAAGTTCATCGGCATTTGCGTGTAATTTGTGCCAGTGCTGGAAAACAGGTGGTTATTAACATTTCTAACTATATATTTATCAAATATAATAAAAACACTGATTTCTATAATATTTAAAACCCATTAATGAAGCACAATGTATAAAACCTTTATACAGGATGACAGAAAAAGAACATTTCAAACAAAACAAGCCTTAAGTTACTGAAACCTTTATTGATGATCATACATGTACTGAACAAGGCCATTATAGTGCAAGTCAACAAGGCGAGGAGTTATTACACGAGTCCTCGGTGAGTAAAGTCGCTACAAACATTTAAAATCAGATTTTAGCTCTAATTTGGTTGAACCGTGAAACTTTCTGTAAACTGAGATTCTGCGTAAACTTTAATAGAAGTGACTTTAATACCCTGAACTTAGACGTGGCCGGAAGAACAACAACCGTCCACGTCGGTGTCTCGTTAATATCTTTGCACCGTCTAGCATTAAGTTTTACAGTTCCAGGCTGTAACGACCTGAACTTAAGTCTCTATCCAGCCCTGCAGGAGGAGAAAAACAAGACTGATTTACATAATTTCATCATCGATGGCTCCAAAAAAAAAAACAGACGACAGCTAAAAACAAACGTACGATCTCCAGCAGATACGTGATTTTAATAGTTAACCCTGTGTAGTAATTATACATCACGTTATATGTCTAGCATTACGGTCTGCAGTGTTCTAGTGTATGAATGAATGAGTGACACAGATAAACCTGCTGTATGCGACTCACAGGGAGGCGCAGAGGAATGTACACAGCTGCTGTAATGGACTAATACAGATGTGAGCAGATGCAGAGGTTGTTTTAACGGATTTATACATTAGAATAATGTTGATATCATCATTCCCTTTAATCAAACACACACACACACACACACAATAAAAACATCATTCTTAATATTTGTGTGGAAACCAGCTCCCACTGACACAATAACAGTATTTTCTCATTCACCAGCACAGATTGTTTTTATCTCTGGAGCCTGAATCACAAAGCTCGGTGCGTTAGGATCCTTCATCCTGAGTGTAATCAGGAGAAATGTTCAGTTAAAAGTACTAAAGCGCAGCGAACTGTCCCGTTTCTGTTCTACTATCATATATATGTGTAATATTAATGTAAAAGCAGGATTTTCACTGCTGTAGTTGGTTGAAACGAGTGCTGTAAACTCTAAAAAGCTTTGATTTCATTTACTTCCCCAGAGAGAGAAGGACAGTAAAAGAGGAGATCTGTGCTTTAGGTCGTCCACAGAGAAGATAAAATTAAAATGTGCGTCAAATCCCACCGAATTGTCCCCGAATCGTATCGTGTACCTGGATACATATCGGATCCTCTTAGAAGGGAGAGACGCACACTGCTAGCATGAAGACATGAACTTAGGTTTTAGGGTTTTTGTGACGGTGTTATTAACAATTTTCTAACATTTTAAAGACAAAAAAACAATAAATCAAGAAGAAAATACAGTAAACAGCAGATTAATCGATGATAAAAGTCTCGTGCAAAAAATGTTTCTTCGATCTTTGACATAATATTCAAGGTAAACGATCCACGAAGTCGCCCTGCACAGGTAACAACGGCGATCTAACTCGGTTTAAAAGGGAGCTGGACTCTGGTGCTTTGTGCTTTGTGATGCAGGCTCCTGCTGCAGCTGTCCTACGCTGTGCAGACACACAAACACATCACTAAAAAGTATCTTAAAACATGCAGCACGCGCAGCAACCAAAACATTGTCTTCATCTTCAGAAACAAAAAACATCCAGCAGTTAATTCTACATCACAGAGAGGAAAGTTATCTTCTGACAGCAAAAAGCAAAAACAGAGGATTTGAGCAGGTTTTTTTTTTTTTTTTTTTTTTAAAACTGCCTCAAAACTTTCTGGTTAAAAAGGAGGAAAGAGACGGGAAATGATCCTTCATGTCGAAGGGGAAACATGCTCAGTGAGTGAAAGGAGAATTCAAACACAGAATAACACTTTACAGTATGATGCAATCCAACAGACCTGCAACTGATACTTCTGTGTGAGGTTTGCAAAGTTACATTTTGCTCTCAGAGGTGTTTCTTTAACTCTGTGGTTATTTTTATGGCTGTAGATTGTGGTGTTGCATCAGATTGCTTTATACTGGAAGGTGTTTCTTTATTTTTGTCCACCCACTGAATGCACGTCCGCCCTAAATGTCTCCCCCAGCCTCCCTTCCATGTGACTATCTCATGTCCTCAAAGTGCACAAACAAAACAATCCCTGAACTTTTGATGCAGAAGATACATTTGAGTGATCCTCTGTAGAAAATATACCTGTTTTTATTCGTAGTCTGGCTCCAACGTGAAACTATAAAAACACTGAATTCATCCACTCTCAGAAACAAAAACCTGTAATAATAATAATCCTCGTGCAAGAAGAGCGTGGATGCATTTCTGAAATATCGCAACAGACCAACTGTTCACTCCCAGCCAGCTCCGGGAGAGCAGAGCAAGCGAGGTGGGGCAACAGCAGGTCCCTGATCGCTCACAGGAGGGCAGCCTCACCCAGAGAGAGGGACAGGGAGAGGGAGGTTGAGAAAGACTGTGTGAGAGAGACCAAAAGAGAAAGAGAGAGGAAAAAAGAGAGAGAGAGAGAGAGAGAGAGAGAGAGAGGGTGTATTCCCTGAAACATAAACCGCCAACGAGCTCTGACTCGGCACAACTGTTGGCCTCGCTCTGCTTTGCTTGGGGTCGTGACAAATGAAATAAAGTGAGTGTGCCAGACCTCATGAGAGGGATTTAACAGCTCCGTGTTTCAGAGACACGCTCGCATGCAGGAGGAGGTTAAGATGTGAGCGGATGATAGCAGTACAGATCCATTGCATAGAATTAACAGTTAAATATCTTCCAGTTTTAGCTTCGAGGTGTACATGCTGCTGACCCCTCTCCCTCTCCGCTTACAGCCAGCTCGACGATCTGGTCGTTTCTGGTGAACTGTACAGAGTCTTATAAATTAAAGCCGAGGCAGTGTCGAGGAAGACGACGGCGACGTGCATGTGTGCAGCTGAACTGAGTGTGTTCTGGCGAGTGTTAGCAGCATGCTAGGCTACCGTGGGTGAGCTCTACAGCGCAGCCAGCTGTTTGCAGGGCGTCCACGAGGTTCCCGTACCGCGCTCCCAGCTCACCCGCTGAGGGGATGCAGATCCACCTTCACCTTCTCGCCGCTGCTCATCATCCCCACGGTGGGGTAGAGGCCGCCAGGAGGGACCGCCATCTCCCTCCGGCCCATCAGCTTCCCGTTCCTCGTGAAGAACACCTGCAGGGGGGCCACAGGGGGGCGACAGCGAGTTAAACACAAACACACACACCTTTCACTGCAAATCTGCTGGTGGGACAATTGGTCATGAAAGAAAAGTCTTTTCATAATGACTGATACTAATGCAAACTTCATTCGAGAGCACTCGGTGTGCCAGTTGTAAATAGGAATTATGTGCAGTTAGGAAATATCGTTAAACAAACAGGTGACAGAGTAATGTCTGCCTTCTTCAGTGTTTACAGTACATGTCTCTACTAAATCAGTGAGTGATCAAACATTATCCAGCTGTTCTCAAAAGAACATCAACAAGCTTTTCAATGCTAATACCGAGGGCTTCTTTCCAAGTCTGAGAGCAAACACCGACACACTGAAACAACAAGTGAAGTACTGTGGAGTGTGTGTCTTCCATAAATCAGGCTGAGTCACAGATCAAACATTTACCGTACCACCCATTCGAAAAAAAGAAAGGCTTAACCGCTATTCAATTACAGATGATGGGTGAGTGAAACTGCAACAGGCTTCATTAGTTTGAACACCACCAACAACCTCCCTCGCCCCCTCCTCCCACCTCCTCCCTCCCCCACCGACAGCCGCGCACACGTGCAGCCGTGCCCACAGAGACCTCGATGATGTGGAGGAGCGGGGCACTCGGGGCGATGTGTCCTGCTGAGCAAATATTGACAAATCCCTGGATTACGACTCGGCCTGTTCTATTCTCACCCACTTGGGTTTCAGTACTGCGTGCACTCACACCCTCCCTCACCCTGGCTCCCCCACCGCCACCCCACCACCACCGCCGCCCGGCCTCTACTTGCACAACTGCGTGGGCAAGTCAGTCCAGCGACTACGAGTCAGGACAAAGTGAAACATCAGTAATTAAAACAACAAACAAACAAACAACAGTTGGAACGCGGCGGTTGGATGAGGAGAGATAAAGAGACGTTACAGCGTCACGTGTGTCGACTGAAACATGTAACGATCAAAATATGACAATAAGACACATTGATAAGGCTCATATAAACAGCATGTTACGTTTTAAAATTCCTAATTAAGCTTTATTCCGAATACCTACGACAGATACCCAGATTGTTATATAAGTCTTGTTTCTGGGAAATTAATCTTTTTTTTTTTGTCTAAAAAGAAAAATAATCTTGTGAAGCATGTTTTGCTTTATAAAAATAATCTGGTTATATAAAAATATTTCTATAACTGTGTGTTAATAAGATCTTACAGCTAATATTGAGCTCCATTTAACCAGTAACAACAATGGTTGCATAATATTCCTGCAGAGGACTAAGATTATTTAAGACCACTCGAACAACTTCTCAGTTTAAGAAAAAGTCGTCTGGGCCCAGTTGTTGGAAATGAATCAGCTGTTTAGTTTTTTTTATTGTTTTAATAAGAAAATGCTTAAAAATAAAAATGTTTCTGGTGCTTTAATTTAAGACAAAGTCACTGATTTTTTTGAAGGAATTGTGTCTTACTGTAAGATTTCTTTGCTAATTATTAGATTATGGTACAAATTCTTGAATTCATTCAATAAAATGACCAAAATATTTAGTCTTAAGTAAGTTTTCATTGCTTTTAATACACAACTTGCTTAAATTGTCAAGACTGTGTCACCCCACTGGCAGATTGTTTTGCTCAATACAAGAAAAAGTGGTTATATTTAATAATATTCACATATAAGGAACAGATGTCTGAAAGGCTTTATGTGAATGATGCTGCAATGATTAGTCAATTAATCAATCGAAAGAAATGAATTGCCAACAACTTTGATAATCTAATAATCATTCAAGTCATATTTCCATGAATATGTTCTGGCTTTTATACTCTTGTACAAACAAAACGAGACATCTAAAGACGCCTCCTTAGACTCTGGGCACTTGGTTCTAATTTTTTTTTATATTGTGGGGGATTTTTTGCAGTTTCCAGACATTGTTAAGACTTTATTTGATCTTTAAAATGCCAGCAAACTGCAATTAATTGAAAAAATAAACAGAAGATTAATTGATAATGAAAACATTATTGTATATATATATATATATTACAAACATGACTGTGCCTCCCCCCTCCTGTGTAGGCTCTCCCTCGTGCCTCTGGGCTCATGTTTTCTCCCCTACCCTGCTCTCTGCTGGACTGTTACAGAGCGTAAACAGCGTCTCCGGTTTTATGTTGTTTTCCAGTTTCACTGTCAGATATTGGGATTTGTGTTTATTATTAACCCGGAATTCAGATTTCATCGACCAAACCGAGCAGAGCCGTTGTACGAGAAACAGTTTGCAAACTAGTAAAATCTAAAAGGTGATATGTTGATGTTAACAGCTCGTTGCCTCCAAGTGGCCAAAGAACATCACTGCAGGTTTGCATTATTTCCTGTTTAAATCATACAATGCTAATGAATCTAAAGCATGTATAGCTCATATATGTTGTGAAGCAATGGTTAACACAGATGTGCTTTTTGTTTTGTGTTTATGAGTGTTCCTCACCATGACCTTCCTGCCCTCCTGTCCCTGCTCTACCTCTTCCCCATCTTCTTCCTCCTCCTCTTCGTCGTTGAGGTACAGAACGTTCTGGACGCCTGCGTGACCTGGACGAACCTCCAGCCGATCCCAGTCGTCCACGTCACCTGAGAACAAACCAGAGCACAGTGTGTTTGAGCGAGGCAGAGCTGTTGCTGTGTAAAAAAACACCAGAAAACAGACAAAACATGTTAATTAAAAACACAACCTGAGATGTTTTGTTGTGTTCAAAAACGTTTTTAGCTGCAGTTTTAATGTTTGTACGTCTAAATTGAAACGGATGTGCTGGAACCACCTGAGAGCAGGAAAGCCTATATTTGTCTCTCATGCAAAGAGGAGGGGTTAAGAATTTCCCCTCTAAGTGACTGCTCTGTTTGCCGTGCGGGGGATCTTGGTTTGCATCCAGTTTCTTTTCCCACATGCAACACAATGAACTGTGTTAAGACCGAATGTTGCCGCAACCGCCTCGTGCTAAACCACGATAAGCAGGTTTTAAGAACGAAACCTCCCACGGACACAAACCAACCACTTTACTGAGTGACAGCGTAATCGTAGCGGCCCGAACCCTCAGCCCTCACCTTCTCCTTCCAGGATGTAGTCTCGTGGGAACATGATGCCGCAGCCCATGATGTCACCTTTGAAGCAGCGAGGACCGAAAGCGTCTCCAACCCCGCTGCCGTGAAAGATCTTCCCATCGTCTGTCAGAGAGGAAGGAGGGAGAGAGAAAGGAGCTTTAACCTGTGCTTAAAGTGATTCAGTAATTAATCACATAACAGTGGATTTGTGTCGGTTAATCTGTGAGTTTGTGCAGAGTTCAAGTGCAACGTAAGACTAATAAAACCTCTTTAATACCAGTAAATATGATGAAGTATGACGGAAGATATATCACATTTTATTCCAGCATCAATACAAATATATATTAATGCAACATGGCCCAGATCAATGGAGGAAGATTGATTATGCAATCAATCAATTAATGCTAAAATCAGACACCTGACAGTTTATGTGCTCCACTCACAACAATCCCACCTTTAATTTATGTGCTTAAAGGTTATATATAAAGCGATTTAGAACATGAATAAATAAGCAAACAGTTATTTGCCATCTAAAGATTCAGTGGAGTAATTTCGTCTCCCTTGCTCCCTCTGTGAGTTTTGTTGTCCGAGCTGCTTTGTTCATTGTTTACGCAGCCGTACCGGCAGCACACGCGTTGCTGCACGTGTATCAGACTGTTGGCTTTGAGGGGCGACTGAAACGGCGGTTTGTTTTCTTATCTACGTCGGCGAATTAAGGATTTCTTTCGAACCAAATCGATGTCGGTGATTGTTGGAACAGTGGAAAGAATAACAAAGACGGTTCTGATGAGTTTTATTTTGTCCTGAGAGGTAAAATTACAGTTGTTGTCGATGGAGTCTGGTGGCAAACAAGATCAATATATCGGCTGTGATCCTTTCCATAATGTCGTCACTAATCTTTTAGTGGACGTACTTCAACGGCGCATTTGTTCCCAACATTACAGCCATTGTAACCTGTTGATTTTTAACATCTTACTCTGTGAATTAAGGTTTTATCTCACCCAAACAAGCATCGGTGATTGTTGGAAAGAATAACGAAGACGTTTCTGATGAGTTTCAATTTATTAGTGTCCACTTTGAATGACGTTAAAATGTCGCAATGATCAGGAGTCTGGTGGCAACTGAGATCGATGTATCAGCTCTTTTCTGGTTTTACTCTTTAACAAAAGGTCCGTCTCTGCAGCAATCCTTTCCATAATGTTATCGGCAAAAATGTATTTTGTTTCTGTCCAGTTTGAAGTCTGTTTTACGATTTACCTGCAAGGTTTTGTCAATGGAGTCTGGTGGGCAGTAGCGCACAGGTGTTTTGGTCTGAGTCTATATATAAATATAAATATATAAAACCTTTAAACTGTCTTCCTTACAGCCCAAAATCAGATACAAAAATGTGTCATAACAAACATCACCGCCCACTGCAGGCAAGAGAAAATATCTGAGATTTGTAAATTAAATAAGAACCTTGAATTCAGACACCCTGTGTAAGCTACTTTTTGCCCTGATGTTACCTGTGCTACTGCTGAACTCGATTTCCAAGAAGTGGAGTCCAACTCGTCTTTTAATGTGTTTACCACAGCGTGCCGCATACATACATTGTGCAGATACAATGTAGTGCTAAAATTCAGGACATCCTGACATTCCAGTCGGATGATAGTGTGTAAACGGGCGAAAGCAGCGCTAGTAAAAACACTCCTCTCCGAAAAAAAAGACATCAACATCCAAAGGAAATCATCAAAACAACACATACTACAGTTGTGAGAGACAACAATGGAAAAAAAGGGGCAAAAGAAAAACATTGCAGAGGTAGCCTGCAGACGAGCTCTCCTCAAGCGAAGCGCTGTGGCTGCTGCTGGTAAATATTTATGGAGTTGTCATGGGACCCGTCCCCGGCTCAGGATACTGTTTAAACAATCTCTATCTGAGCACCGGGAGGGAGACGGAGACACTGTATCATTACGGCTCCCATGCGGGCCCTTGTCACAACACCACACACTAGGCAAACAGTGGAGCCGCGCCGGCACAGGCGCAGCACGACTAAAAATAGCCCGAGCAGGGCTTTTTTGGAGAGTGACAAGGGCCGGCGCTGGAGGTGAGCCGGGGTGACAAAGGGTGTGGAAGTCCAGGTTTGGACCTAAGGATGGAGCTCGTTCACTGGGGCGGGAAAGGTAGGGAAGGCCTGGCGCGGGGGGGAGGGCTGGACGGATGTTAGCAACAGTTGAATCTTTACACACTTTATTCGCAGCTTTAAGTTTAGATTATATTTATGGATTCAATAAGAACTATTTGAATAATATACAACGATATAAAATGGTTAAAGCCTTTAATTTTCCTTTAAACACACAACTGTAGCTCCTCCTACTGAAGAGATGGGCCTGTGAATGTTGAATGAGAATGAGTTTAGGGGATGCATCAACAGAAAATAAATGAATTACCGACTATTTAAATAATCAGTATAAAACATTTGTTAACTAAAAATGTGAAACATTGTCCTGTTTTATATTTCACTGGAGTTTGGACTGTTGATCAGACTAAATAAGCAACCTGCACACATCGCCAGGGGCTCTTGGAACATCATGTAACGGCCGTTTTTCACCATTTCCCGACACAGTGACGACACAGCATGCGTGAGCAGAGCGTGACGGTTGCTGAACTGCTGCAGCTCGCCTGTGGTGAGCACATAGAGAACATTACTGCTGCTGCTATCTTTCTACACTGAGTTTGACATGGATTCTGTCCACAGAAACATTACACAGACATATTCTACAGATATACAGGAGTGAATATGACTCTGAACAGATTCTCTTCACTGTCTGTTTATGCTGGGAACCGCTCACGGAAAAAATGGGGCAGACTTTGACTCTTTAGTGAAGCATCACTTGAGGCGAACGTAAGAATTCACGGTCTAACCCGTTTAACATTGGCGGTGAAATACGAACGCAGGGAGTGTTGACATCTTGGAGAATAAAAAGGGCACTGGAGCTGTTTAGTGCTGCACTCTTATAAAGTCAGGGCAGCTGTTCCTAAACTTTTCCCTTAAGGAACCTCTTTACCATAATTAATTAAACTAAGTGACATATTTTATGTGTATTTCATATTATAATAAAAACTGTACAATGAACCCAAACAGTGAACTTTATAGAAGTTTGTGTAAAACAAGTGATTTGGATGAATTCTCATATTTTTTATCTTCTTTTGACAAATTCTGTGTTTTCTTGACCCTGAAGTTTTGCAAATGTGAACCAAATGCTGAATATTGGCCTACTGTGTATATTTTAAGTTTTCTAGCATGTCTATCTCTCACGACCCCCCATGAAGCTTTGGCGACCCCTAGTGAGGGTCCTGACCCCCAGGTTGGTAACCCCAAGTTAGGGGAATAAGGGACAGATAATGTTCACAATCTAAGCAGCAGAGGCCAAAACTAGTGTGGGTCCCTGCAATGATACATTGAATTCTTTAAAGTTTAATCAATTGTTTGGAAGAAATAAGCAATTGATTAATAATTAACAGATGTTGAAAATAATCATTAGTGACAGCACTAAATCAGAAAATGTTCTGCACAGTCTTAGTTACAGCAGTCATGTAAAGCTATTTTAGTTTTTGAGCACACGTTCATCTTTTCTGTTGCTTTGGTGGTTAAAATGTTGGAAATGGAGATGCAGGAAGCAGACTCAACCTGGAGCTGGGCTGTGGAGGAAAATGTTAAAATTTGTGTTGGAAGACTAAAGAGAGTTTAAAATTAGCACAGAGGTGTTGACCACGGTTTGGCTCGGAGGCTGGCGAGCGTATGGAGCAGAATACCGGGTGACGGTGTTAATGCAAAAGTCAAGATCGTAAACTGAGCCAGTTGTTTGTAAAGCTGACAAAGTTAGCTACTGTGACCGCCACCAGGTGCTGGATCTTAAAGGTGATCCTGGCAGTGTCAGGAAGGTGACAACTGGAGCTGGGTTGAGGGTTTGGAGCCGGGCCCACAGGAGGAGAGGGCAGGCTCTCTCTGACTGAGACCAGCTGGGAACAAGAAAACAGGCTTTCTCGTAACATGAGAGTTTGTCTGGAAAAGACTGGGCTTCCCTGCCCAGGGAACAATGACTCCACAGACTCCGAAAACATGAAAAATTAAAACCAAATATTTATATTCTTCCATGATTTCACCAACTCACACACACATACACACACACATACATACATACACACATATGTGAGTTTGCACACGTTTCCTAAGAATTTACTATAAATTCCATTTGCAGCTGCAATAAGAGTTCGTCACAAACAAAGTGTTGAGCTGTTGATATATAACATACATTATACTTCCTGGCTCCGTTTGCCAGTGAGGCCGCAGCTTATAAAGTATATGAGGAATATATATTTAAATAATCTCTGGTTACAGGTCCTCCAGAAGGACGTAGTGCCGAACTGACTCTGGTACTTTAACGTCTTCTGCTCCGATTCTGGTTTTAAAAACTGCAACTATAAATTGATAGACAGAAAAATACTATTTTGATAATCAATTAATTGTTGAAGTTTCCAAACATTCTCTGGTTGCAGCTCCTCAGATCAAAGCATTTCTCCGTCTTAATGTGATTATAAACTGAATGTTTCTGGGTTTTGGACAGTCGGAGGGAAAACACAAGTAATCTGATATCATTACTGCGGGGCTCTGGGAAACTGTGATGGACATTTTTAACTTTTTACAGACAAAAAACAATCAATTGTGAAAATAACCAGCAGATGAATCATCACCAATGAAAGGTTGCAGCCGTAGTTAGTAGATCTTATGCGGCAGGTTGACCGCAAAAGAAGCAGATGTAGGTAAAGTGACGGATATATTCCCTTTAGAGCAGAAACTAGTTTGATGATTGATCATTTGAGTCATTTTGTGATGCAAAAAATGCAAAAACGTCTCTGAATTCAATGTTAAGAGTTGCTGCTATTCTTTATTTTCTATGAAGGAATCTTTAGGGGTCTTTTTTAGGACAAAACAATCTGCAGTTTGCACTTGGGGAAACAAACGTGAATCATCTAATTTATGTAGTATGGACCATCGAAAAAAAAGAAAGATGGAAATCTCCGCTTCCTCCCACCGAACAGAAATGAAGTGAGTCTGAGCGGTAGTGATCGGGGTTGGCGCCGCGATATCAAAGTCCCGCCCGTCCACTGAAGCACAAAAGGACTCAGCTGTCAATCATTAAGTGAAACCACCTTTTTTTATAACTTCAAATAACTAATTAAAACTAAACTTGGCCAAAAAATTAACACAGTGAAAACATCCGTGGGAAAATTTAGATTTTTTTTGTTTGTCCGATCTGCTAACGTGGAGGCTTTATAACCTATACTGCAGTCAGCCACCGGGGGGCGATAGAGATGTTGTGGATGTCATGTTGTCCATCTTAATATATATTGATGAGACCTGACACATTTAACCTCAGTTTTATGTGCTTCGTGATGAGTTTCTTGACTACAGTTTACCTCTAACTGTAACATTAATGGGGCCACAGCCTTTAAGTTACAGTTGAAATCAAGTGGAATATATTTTGTTTTACAGAGAACACATCTTCTAGAAGGCGAAAGTGATCGTTGCAGTTAACATTGCTGTATGTATCTGATCATTAATAGACCGTATGCTTGTAGATCAGAGACCATCTACACGATTTCCACTGAGTAACTCGCTGCAAGTCTCCTTTTCGTCTGGTAAATCGACTTTGAAGTGTCATATCTCGCAGCTTATCCTACCAAATGTTGAGTTTTAATATTCACTTAGGGTCGATTATTTTTTTGGATATTTGGTCATTTTAACCCATTTCAAGGTGTTTCCATGACTGGAGAACTTGTCATGTGGCCTACAGACCAAATAATAATTGGGAAAATAATCTGTAAATGAATCAATGATGAACATAATCATGAGTTGCAGCTGTAATTCTTAGCTGTGTGGCGACATCTACAGTGTGGACACACACAGGTACACGCTCAACTCAGATTCACTCTTTGTGCCTGTTAATGTTAAAACATCATCATCCATTTTTGTGCCATTAGGTAAGACGGTAATACAATCCCCGTACACAACATGTTGGTATTGATTTTGTTTTTGCAGAACCTTAGCTGGAATCAGATTAGATCTCGCCACCGATACAGAGCGCAGGAGTTAAACTGAGGTGTATTATCTCAGGTCGGCTCGGCGGTGATGGATGGATGCTGGCGGCGGTGGTAGAGCACAACCTTCAGCTGTGGGTGTTGAGTCATAGCACGTGTGAGTCACTGATGGGGGGTTTGGAGGGGGTGACAGGGTTAATGAGGCTTGCAGAGGAGCACTCATTGGTTGGATGGCTGGTTGCTCCTGATAGAGCCCACAGGGGCCCACAGGGGCCCGCAGTGCCCCACGGCCCATTAACTTGAGGAGCCAACACACAGGATGGAGGTCCACACTGGGCCAGCTCCCAAGACAAACACTCGTGGTAACACCAGCGCGGGCCAAAGAACTCAGCTATACAAGCTATACAAAGGAGCAGCGATATGGTTGGCAGGCATTTGTGTATGTAACTGGAATATATCTGGAGTAAAATCACAACCTTTAAAGTCAATAATACACATTACATGCGATCCAGGTCAACACTGGTCGTGTGCCCGATACAACGCACCATAAATCGGGGACAGAAATAGAGCTATAGTAGTCAAACTCCACATGCCAACTATGAATAATAGCAGGAATGTTTAATTGAATCATTATTTAATTTATGTATTTAAACTATCTTTAGCCTTTTCTTGAAAGCTAATGATAAAAAAACATTACAAACAGTTGGATACTACGATAAAAATATAACAAAGAGTTTCAACAATCTATACAAAGCTAAAGCCTGCTAAGATACTGAGGTCAAATACAAAAACGAACCAACTTAAGTCAATAAACGGACATACCACGTGTCACAGAAACACCTTTTCACAGCCGGAAAACCAAGGCAACAAAGTCATTCCTTCTTTAAGCAATTTCTGCTGTGGTTATATGACCTAGTGTATATAATACTGTGTATACATTAAGTTTTTGTCACTCCGCCAAAGAGTGTCCGCAATGCAGTTCTTGAGGTTCCCGAGCTGTTCGGTGAAAAATCCTGGACGTATGGAGGAGCGAGGGGGAGACACGAAGAAGAGGCCCTGGCTGTTGACTTTAAGTAGCTGGATCAGAGCCTGTACATTAACCCAAGCATGGGAAGGCAAACCTCATACGCACAGCGTGGAAAACCACATACATCATTTTAGTCTCTAACAAATAAGATTAATGGGAGCTATGCTGAGGGCGTGCACATTTCTGTGGCGTCCAACGCACAGCAGCCAAAACCAGGCTGACCGCAGCGTTAGACCTCTGGGACTGGCACGGTGGAGCCCCCGTCAATGACTGGCCTCGACTGTCACTCAGCAATGAGGCATCATCATCAGACCTCGGCAGGACGCGCTGCATCAACTGTTATTATTATTAATATATCCTTAAGTATAAATGGAATCTGCGAGGGGATACGGGGATTTAACATCGACTCGAAAACATGACCGGAATGTGCGGAGTGAACAAGAAAGTGTGTTTTGATAGCTGATTGGAGGTCAGCTGGAAGAAAGTATATAAACCTTCCTCTAAAAATAAAATCTTACACGTTTCCCGGTTGGAAAAAAGAAAGAAAAAAAACAGACAGAAAGTGACATTTGTGGCGTGTGAATCCCTCAGAGCGAGAGCAGCTGAAATCCCCCTGCGAGGGAGATTAACAATGGGATGCTTCAGACCAAAATAATGCAGATAAAAGACTAGCTAGCTCCTAACTGCTTCGTCTGATAAAGACTAACAAGATCTTGACTGTGACAGCGGATGGTGAGATAAAGAGCCGGCTACCTACTGTAGCTCGTACGCCGTAATAACAACCACCTACATGGCTGCTGCTATACACACATCACAGCAGTGGCGTTTGATAGCTAATCTCTTAGCGCTGATAGTGAGGGGTGCTGAGGAATGAGAGCTGTGAGGGGGGGTTGTGCAGATGCCTGTAAAGATAATGTTCACAGGCCTGTCGTCACAAACAACCAAGACTGAACGTGTGTGTGTGTGTGTGTGTGTAAACATAGGAAGATAAAGATAACTAAACTCAGTTTTTTGTGTCTTGTTGTTTTTGGCTCATTGCTTTGAGAGATACTTAGATGACCAAAAGAGACAGAGAGATGGAGATACGATTGTTTCCTTCTTTCTGACGCTGTCACCGTCTGTTTTATCTGCTTTTCTGTCCCTTTTATCTGCCCGCAATCCTCCTTCATCTCTGTTTGTGCTAGGCACCTTAACTTCCAGCTGAGACGGGGCCCTGTGATGTTTGCATCTAAAAAGGCAGCAGATACAGTAGATGCTTTAGAGGAAGTATATCAGATTTATTTATTTCAGTCAAACGAGACTACAAGGGAAATTCCACAGCAGCGCACAACCTCTCTTTTTTTGAGAAATCACAGAAGCTGTAGACGAAGAGAGGAAGAGAGGAAGAGAGGAAGAGCAGGAGCTTTAAATCTCACCTGCGTGGTACGCCACCGACCCTCGGCTCCATCCTGGGTGTCTGTTCCTGGGGTAGTCCTGCACAGACACAAACAATCACACAGGTCAGGGTTGATTTTAACCTACGTACCACGGAGGGTCAGGAGTCTGCAGGTCTACATCGGTTTCTGTATGACTGACAGATGCAGCAGCCGGTAGCTTACAGAGACTTTCTCCACCAAACAAACCTTATTATCGTCACTATATTGCTGAAAACATGAATACGTGTTTTATATATGCTCATAAATAACTTTTATTTTATTGATTTTCTATGATTTTATTATCTTTTTCAGTTTGTAGCATGAAGGGAATTCATCTGAATCAAAGGTCTCAGGACAATATGCTGTACAGCTTGTGATTTTGGGCTATAAAAATAAAATTAGACTTTACTTTTGGACTAGTTAGGAGACATACTTCCTCCTCTGTACCGAAGAGCTGTTGAGTGCCGTTGATGTGAGTTGTTAAGCGTGCCTGAGATACTGTGTGACCAACAGACCAAAGAATCAACAAATTAAAAGTATGAACTCATCATTGGTGCACAGTCCGAACACGTACGAACATTTCACTGAGCCTGTCAACCTCTACACGTGCGGTTTACAGGGATGAACAGTGGCAGCTTCCCGGTAACTGTTAAACATCAGGTATTTGATTTCACACAGAAAAAGGTTGATGAGCGTTGAGTTTGGCAGCTGAAATACTCCTTTTTTAATCAGCCAGAACCAGATAATGAATATTAAATCTACGGTAAAGCTCACTCTTAAAAGGTTGATGTGTGTGAACTTTCCTTGGGTTTTATCTTTGTGTGTCACACCTGCTAACTTGCAGATTCCCTGGACAATATTTAGCACATTCTTGTACAGCTCATCATTCACTTATCTAAATATTCTGCCATATTGTCTCTATATTTTATATTTATATATATTGTTTCTCTAATTGTTATGCACTACCTTAACAAGGCAAATTCCTTTTTCTGGTAATAAACCTGATTCTGATTCCTAGACGACAGAGCAGCATTGTTCTTGTATTGCAGGGTAGAGCTGAAGTAATTCAAATGAACATAATTCAAAAATAACCGTGTTTGAATGCTTAGCTACCACAGAAACACACACTTAAGACAAGCAACACAGAGTTTAGATTTATGCTTTATTGTTCGCAGTGTTTCTTACTATTTCAAGAGAAGAGGCTTTGAAGATGACGACTAACTGACGAGTTTGGGAAACGTAATTCTATATCGTGTGACGAAGTTTGGCTGAGGTTCCCCAAATCCAATAAAAAGAGCTTGGCTCCCACTACACTGGATGTCTCAGTCCTTAACAGGCCTTTTCTTTTTTTAAACCTTTATTTATTGAATTCTCTCTCTTTTTGCCCCCCTCTGCTCACATTCACACAGTTAAACATTCACACTTGGATGCTGCCCAGTACAACCAGAGTCTGATCTGCTGGCCTCTTTGCGGCTCCACTGGAGCGGTAGGGGTTGACGGCTTTGCTCATGGGCACCTCAGTGGTGGTTACCCCCTTTTCCCCTCCGGTCTGGGGATCGAAGGGACAACCTGACTGACAGCTGCACCTTTTGTTCGAGCGGCACTTAATCAATTCCTTATACTTTTGTTTTTAGTTTTGAAAAGGAGATGAGGAAAGATACAAAACTCAAAATGCAGAGTATCGCTGTTACTGCAGCTCACACCGCTTCAACAGGAGGTGAAATCCAAAGCGTGACAGGCCTGAATCTGTCCAATAACTATACATTACCAAGTAAAAAAAAGCCAGTAGCAGGTTTACTGTCATGTTGTTGTATCCCTATACAAATGTTTACATGTTAATAAGAGGATTCTGTTTGCCTGCTGTTTTGGGTATCGGTCAGTGTCAGCTACTTCTCTCAGAGCTGAGGATGTGTTTGTCTCTATCTCCATCTGTCTGCATGTACAGTATGTATGCGTCTCTCCAGGTTTCACCATGCCAACAGAAATAACTAGAGGGCCAACTTTCAGATAAGATCAGAGTATGACTCAGAGGTAATTACCAGAGATTTTTATCTGTCTTCCAAGCTGCACCTCCATTACTGTAGAAACACACTACTGAACAAGAGAGGAAGGAGGAGGAGGTCAATGACATTATTTTCTCTCTCTCTCTCTCTCTCATTTCTTTTCAACTAGTATTAACAGACAAAAAAAGGCAACCAAAAGACTTTCATTTTCATCTTGTCTCAGGTCAAAGAAATCCAAAATATTACAAGGATGACGTCCAAAAAAAAAAAAACAGCCTCTGGCAAGTCACAGCAAAGGGAAATGTTCTTTTTATCCAAACAAAAGAACAGCCACTGATGACTGATGCAGAGACTGAAGAGGCAATACATTACTCAAAAACAAAACAGGGCCGATGAAATTATTACTATTAGCACCTGTGTGGAGCAGAGAAATGAGTAATAGGGAACAGTGCAGACAGACAGCTCAGTCGGGCCACGCAGTTCGGCATTTGAGGACAGGACATCAGGGAAACATCAACGATCCTGTCTGACAACCCCATTGGGGCTTGAGGAACAGGAAATGGAGATGGATGGGGGGAAAAGAGAGAGAGAGAGAGGACAGAGTGAGACATCAGCAGAGGAAGACAGAGAGACATGGAGGAATGCAGCTACTGCTCCAAGCCTGAAAACCCTTGATCCGCCAAGTCTGCTCCTCTTCCCCCTCGTCTCAACCACAAGCCGGAGGATTCCTCTGGCTGACTGGCATGTGGGCTGCATCTCCACGAGGAGGAGAGGAGCGTCTGGGTGTTTTGCTCCCTGATTGATGAGCCACAGACACTGATCTGATCAGAGATTTTGAGGAAAACTCTGAAATAAGACAACATTAGGAATGGCTGAACAAATAACGGGTGGATTTATAGCACTTTAATGTAAACCGCAGACTTGTGTCTGATAAATGGATCAACTGTTAAATGCCTGTTTTCATAGCCGTCTTCTTGGTAATTGTTGGAATCTCCAATTCAAAACATCTATTCAGGGTGCTCTAGGCAACAAATAAATACGGTAGTGAGAAAACTGAAGCAGCACTCCCTTCTTCAAACATTATAATAATATATTACAGTATGAAGAGTGGGAGGACAATGACGGTCAGTTGATCACTTCAGAAATAAGATTTCATGCAGGCATTCATGGCCCCTGACTGATGACGCTACTGACTTTGTGATCCACTAATATTTCCTCTAGCGCAGTTTTGAGTAAATTACCTGTATGATGGATTGTTATTATGGTACAGTTGTCCAGTACCTAATGTCTACAACCCTTTAAAGGTTTACACTCCACCAGCTTCTGCAAACTGGGGCTGTGTATATGCAAGAATCTGGCAATACAATACGTATCGAGATACAAGGGTTACGATTCAATATATTGTAATATATTACTATTATAATATATTATTATATACAGTAATCAGAACAGTAGGATCTGTATTTGTATTTATTACAGATCCTCTAACATCCACCGTACACATAGACCTCAGTTTACAACAGTGCCATCTAATGGTTGGAAGTTTAAAAACAAAATTTGATCCAGTGTTTTGAGGACAATCTTAGCCAAGACAGCGTTTTACGGTTAGTCCTGTATTTAAGTAAAGCAGCTAAAAAGGAATTATGTTAGAACCTAAAAACAGTCTGATCTTTCCTAGTCATACAAAATATATAATAAATATATACCGTATTTTCCGGACTATAAGTCGCATCAGTCGAGAAAAAAACATATATAAGTCGCACCTGACTATAAGTCGCAGGACCAGCCAAACTATGAAAAAAAGTGCGACTTATAGTCCAGAAAATACAGTATATATATATATATAAATATAAAAATACTGGCACTAACTAGCTCTACATTGCACTACAAGAGCAATGCTGTTAATTTATTATTAGGGATGCACTGATACCACTTTTTCTCAGACCAAATACAAATACTTACACTTGTCTCTTTGCCAATAACGATACGAGTACTTAATAATACTTTTACAGTTCTAACAATTACTTAGAAAACATGTTTTACTTCATCAGATGTTTCTCATTTTCTGACTGTTACAAATTAAATGTTGCTGATGTTGCTCAAAATATCTCCAAACTTCTGACACTGCTTCTCCTCAACCTACCTGCTCAACCATCAAGTACGAGTAGATGAGAACAGTATCGGACACGATACCAGATACTGGTGCATCCCTATTCAATACGTCTTCTACATGGATTATTGGCTAGAAGCTGACTTCTAGTTCGCTTAATTAGTTAGCTACAGCTGTTATTTCAGAGGACAAATCGACTGTCCCTGGCTGGAAAGCCGCTTTTATCTACCTCTGACATCCGGCACATTGTTTCAAAAATGCGTCCTGTGCGTCCTATAGGAAAGACAGGTGCAGCCTTACTTGCATCCCTGCACTGGCTACCTGTCAAATATAGGATTGATTTTAAGGTTCTTTGATTTGTTTTTGAAGCCATACATGCTCAGAACAACTCCACTTGTTTTTAACTGTTCCATGATCGAGGTTGTTTGTTAAGGGAGATTGCACCTTTGTTGTGGCAGCTCTGAAGTTTTTGAATAGTCTTTCACTTTCACTCAAACGCTGCCCCACGTAAATGTTTTCAGTGGCTTTTGTTTGCTCTTAGTGGATTTTAGTATTTTAAAATCTTTTATTTTATACTGTAAGTCTTGTTCTGTCTCCGTTTTACCTTTGTACACATATTTGATATTGTATTATATTTATATATAGTTTCTTTTGTTATTTTTGGTGCGTTTTACTACTTTTCAGTGTCCTTTATTTGCTACTGTTGAGCCGTGCACTTTAATTTGTACAGCACTTAGGTCAACTCTAGTTGTTTTAAACGTGCTATATAAATAAAACCTGATTTGAGGTGTAGCAGCAGTAGCTAAGGAGGGACGGGAGAAAATTAATTGGCCATATTACAGCTGCTTCAGTGTACATGACACCTGTAAATTAAGTGGAACAATGTGCAATTTAACAGCAGCTGATGTAGAACAGAAAATACCATCATGATACCTTTCGTTAGCA